TAACTCTTCCACTTGCATCTGTTAAGCTTTTGATCTGATTCTGTGTTATTCTCCCTTTCATGCTTGCAAAGAAGTAGGCTGTATTGGAGTCTCCTAGCTGAAGCCACTGAATTCTAGACCTTTGCCTATAGATGCTTTCTTCAATAGTGCTCCATTTCTCCAGTTGTTGTTTTTTGGTTTTTTCCAATTCAAACATATCATCTGTGATATTAGGTGTCCTCATCTGTGTTTGTATAGCTGCTAGCTCTTCCCTTGCTTGTTGTACTTTCCTTGCTGTATTGGAGAACTTTCTCTTGTTCAAATGCTTCAAACCTTCTTTGATATTCTTCAGATTGTACCATATATCCTTCATGCTTGTAGTCTGCTTGTTCCAGTTGTTCCTTACTATGTGTTCAAACTCTGCATGTTCAGTGAGGAAATTGAAAAACTTAAAAGGTCTCCCCTTCACCTCCATTGCTGCCTCCACTTCTAGGCATAATGGGGAATGATCAGAGAAAAGAGGGTCCATAATTGTAACCTGTAATGGTGGCATATTCAGCATCCACTTGGCATTTACAATAGCTCTATCAATCTTGCTAAACACATGACTATTTGTCCATGTGTATGTTCTTCCTACAGTTCTGAGCTCATTGAGGTTGCAGTCTTCCATTAGATTTCTAAAATCCCTGATTTCATTATCTTGTATTTCTGTGCCATTTACTCTATCTTCTTTATCCATCACAGCATTGAAATCTCCCATGATCAGCCAATTATTCACTGTCTGTGTATCAATTTTCCTCAGTTCTTCCCACAGGTCTTGTCTTTGAGCAACAGTATGCAGTCCATATACAGCTGTAAAAGTGAACTGCTTAGTTGAAGTGCTATTCTTAACTATGCCATGGATATATTGGTTATGAGACTGCATCATGGTAAATTGAATTCTATTAGGATCCCATAGAATCCAAATTCTGCCTTTTTGATTCCCTGTATTGTTGATGCATCATCTCCAGCCTGGTGCACATTTATTTATAATTTCTCTTTCTTTATTGTTTTGGACTCTGTGTTCAACTACTGCTATAAGACTTATTTTTTGTTTTTCTAAGAAAACTTTCATCTCCTTCTGCTTATGTACTTTATTGAAACCCCTCACATTCCAAGTGGTAATCTTCATATGATCTGAGTTTGTGATATTATCTGCTCACCTGCTCCCCTACTGCATCCAGCTGCCTCATCATCTGCCCAGCTTATCCTACCTTCGTTTGCCACTTCACTCAGAGGAGAGAAGCCATTTGTAGTTTGTATACCTTGCTGTATGGGACTTGTCATTCCCACCTTGCCCTTTGCTTTAGTCCATACTTGTTGATCTCCCTTTGGGTTCTGTGGTTCCTCTTCTTGTTCTGTCTGCTTGCCCATGTCTTGTTTAGTCTGTTTTGTAGTACATATTGCCACCCATTGAGTTGCTACTCTCTTTGGTGGTTGTATGTTACCATTAATATTGACATTCCTCCCTTGCTGCTTATTCTGATGCTGGTCATTTTTCCTTTCCTGTTTATTTGTCTATTTCTATCCTGTTCTCCTTCACAATCATGCCCCACTAAATTTTAAGTTTCAACAAGTTAATAAACTGACACATAATTCACCATACAATACCATGATAACTAATTATTTGTAAATAGTTACTAGCTAATACAGAGCTATTAAATTAATAAGTATTGTATCTCGTAAACGTGAAAAAAATAGTATTTAGAAAAATAATTATTAAAAAAATTATGGACTATTATATAATAAAGACATAACAAAAGTTAATAAATAAATACTTTCAAATAAAAGATTTATTGAAATTTAACTATCATAGCAGTCTTAGTGGATAGCGTGCAATAATTTATATTTTAATTATGACATAAAATAATCTCAACTTAATGATTTATAATTAGGAAAAAAGTAATTTTAAATAGTCAACGTTTATTAAGAAAATTTGAGGATTTACAAGGTTAGTTACATACAATTTCATAAAGTTCTATTAGGCGAGCCCAGTACGCTGGACGTTGGGCGTGTCCGGGACGTAAGCCCCGATGGCTGAGGCGTAAGTCTCACGGAACTAAGCCCCACACATAAGCCCTAAGGGCGTTTTACGAGTGCATCGCCCCGGGGCGAGTCACAATTCTGCCTTTTAAAACGAAGTCCTCAATTATCATGTGAATGAACTTTGTTTTAGTGGTTAAGGAATTCACCTCCAACTTGCTCTCAATTATGGAGTGACTCAGGCTCTAAATCAGTGTACCAATCTAAGTTATTTCTTTTCAGTTGAGTGCACAAACTGCTTGACAAGGTCATTGCTATATCTACCAATGTTGCTACAAACTTCGACAAAATGACTAATGTGTTGTCTTGGGTTGCCCGTCCTATCAATTTATTGCAATTTTGGTGACTGATAACAAGTTGGACAATCAATCCACTTAATTGAAACTTTGATTGTCTTGTTTTATGTGTTGGCTCAATTTGCTGTATAGTGCTGTATAATAATGCATATATCTAACATTGTAATCCATCCTAATGTTATTTGTGATTTCCCGTTGAAGAAGCCTTGCAACAATGGACTTGAATTGCTGAAAGCAGTTGACTAATGAGTAATGATGTTATAGGCCTAATGTGGGCCGAGTCCAGTCATAGCTTGGGCCTATAACGTGGCCACAACACAATTACGTACGGGTGATTGACGGGAGAAATTCAAAAATAGCCAAATTTACAAGTGATCATTCAAAAATAGCCACAGTTTCAAAAGTAATCAAAATTTAGTCATTTTTCATGTAAAGATAAATCTAAACGAAAATACTGTTCAAAATCCGGAAAGTACTCCAATATAATATACCGGTCCAGCATAATATGTTGTAAGTTTATACACAGGTGCTCCAATCTCCAGTATATTATGCTGGAACTTTCCGTGTGTTGGAGTTCCAGCATAATATGCTGGAAGTTCATACATAGGTGCACCGATCTTCAGTATATTATGCTGGAACTTTCCGTTTTGCAGCAAAATAGTAGCTATTTTTCAATGACTTTGCAAACGCTGGCTATTTTTGAATGATCAGTCCGAAAACTGGCTAGCCCGTGCTATTGAAATGATCCCGTAAAGGGCTAGTTTTAACCGAATATCCTCAAAATTAATGGTATTTAAAAAATAGACCCGGAGCTATTGCTCTTCAATGTTTTTCTACTAGATTGGTAAAGTTTATGTCAAAATTTACCGGGTTGACACGATTTTGCTTTTTGATCCGTTTTTCCCAACCATTTGGGATAAAGAACCTTAATTTTTTTTCTTCATTAACTCAATTTCCTCTTATTATTTCGTTTAGTTGACAAACTCATAGTAAAGCTTAATAGAGGTACTCATATTGTTAGTAGGTGATATTTTTCTTTGAATATAAATTTATCCACGCAAATTCACGTAAACGTTAGTAGTGTAGCAAATTAAACATCCCTTCTAATAACATTCATAAAAATTGTTAGATGAAATGGGGTTTTATATAATTATTTAATTATTTACTAATTTATAGTTATTTAATATATTTTTGCAGAAAAATATCTAATTTAAATACCTCATAATAAATTAATATTTCTTATTTTCATATATGTTTGCGACATAGCAAATTTATCAACATGTTAATCTAAAAAAATTATTTAATTATATAATTACACTAGTCCAATCAAATATGATAGTGAAAATTGTATTGTAATTACATTCTAAAAACAAACAGATCATTTTAATTATCAAGATATGTAATTACTAACATATAGCTTTTCAAACAGATCCTTATGTTTTGGATGACATTTTTCCTTCCCGAACCATTTCCGTCACGCCTTGATAAAGTTAGTGTAGCCTGGGGCAAGTCCACCATTGTTGTCCTTGTATGGTCCTTTGATTCACCAATATACGTGGACCATTATATTGATGATATTTAGAGTTTTTTAATCAATCAAGCAATCTATAGGAAATTGCACGCGAAACTGCAAAATGCATGGTTTTTTATCTGAGTAGTTCGTGAATACATTTCCTTTTTTCCAATATTCATTTTTGTTATAAATTGGGGCCATCAGATAGCTAGCTCTAGAAAATAGAATGTCTACTGTTGATTTTATTATGTTTTGTTATGGTCTATAAGGATGACTCATACTGTATGACCACGAGTACACTTATCAGCAAACAAGTCTGTTCGGATCAAGCGCTTATCATTATGTCAAAAGTTACGACTGATAGGAGGAAACGCGTAACTTTATTTTTTAACCAAGCCCACCAAGCAAGTGCCATGTTCGACCGTAACTCCGACCGGGCCACTCCAGCCCCCTCATGGGCTTTGCCATAGGCAGGATATTAGCGTTACCCAACAATACTCCTCCCAACACTTGCCTCATGTTACATTTATAATTTTGGCTCTGATACCACTTGTTAGGCTCAAGCGCTTATCAGCATGCCAAAAGCCATAACTGATAGCAAGGACTCAATTTTATTTCTTAACCAACCCCACCAAGCAAGCGCTATGTTCGACCATGATTCCGATCCGGACCACCCCAGGCCCCTCGTGGGCGTTGCCATAAGCAGGATGTTAGCATTACACAACAAAGCCTATGTGCTCTGAAGCACCATCTTCGGATTAGTGACGTTAGTAGGTTTCAGACATCGAATAATTAAAAAAAAAAGGTAGAACAGTACTATATCCAACATGGAGTTGTTCAAGAACTTGCTTCTCCATTTCAGCTTTTAGGCAAAGTGGAACGGCAAACTCCAAATGGGGTAGAGTGAGAAGCTCTCCCCTTTCTCTAATATTTCTAAACCATTTCCTAAGACCCTTCCAACATTGCCAACCTTCAACTCCAAATGACCACCTGCACAACAAGCTACCCAAGCAAAAGAATAACTCTTATTCCCCCTCCAGAATCAATCTCCATGGAAGGGCCAACCCCACCCCACCCCACCCCCTCCCAGCCCCAGAAAATACCCAGAATAAAACCCTAACGGAGTGGAGATGAGCCCAGTTAACCCTAACGACCTTACAAACACGATGAACTGCCCTAACACCAGTAACACAAAGAAAATGTCCTTCCTGGACACCCTAAAATCGAACCACAACTGTGACCAAGACAGTAACCAAATCACAGTGCAACGTAACATAGACCTATACGAACCTGAGGATGAGATCAACAACTACCCAGATCCCAACCTCTTCATCCCAATCACTTCATCTGATAAGGAACGACTCTACAAGAACTGGACCAATGCCCTCATTGTTAAAATGTTTGGTAGACGAGTGGGGTACCATTTCCTTCAAAGGAAACTGCATGCAATATGGAAACCTACGGAGACTCTATCTCTTATTGATCTAGGAAGTGACTACTACTTAATAAAATTCACAAAGGAGGAAAATTATAGGAAAGCTCTACATGAAGGAACGTGGTTCATTGGTAACCAATTTCTTATAGTTAGAAAATGGGAGCCCAGATTTGTAGCTTCAAAAGCCGCCCTGACATACTCAGCTATTTGGGCAAGGCTCCCGGAACTTCCTGCCGAATTCTATGACTATGACATATTGCAAAAAACTGGCGAAAAACTAGGACAACTAATACGAATAGATGCTTGCACAAAATCTGCGATGCGAGGCAAATATACCCGTCTTTGCATCTTAGTTCCCATAGTAAAACCACTCTAAACCTACATTGTTATTGGAAAACACATACAAAACATTACATATGAAGGTTTTAATCTCCTTTGCACAAGCTGTGGAAGGCTGGGCCATGGCCAAAACTAATGCCCACATCAAATCTCTAAACCAAAACACCAAGGAGCACCGGGCAGCCAAGAACAATCCCATGGACAAACCCATGAACAAAATCAATTAGAGAGCATCACACACCAAATTGACCACTGGACCATAGTATCACACACAAAAAAATCAAAAAACCGCCCAACTACCCCCAAAATCCTAACCATAGCAGCAGCCTAGAGGGACCAAGTAGGGCTACCTCAAATCATATTCTCAGCCAAATACAACGGAAACAAACAAGCCCAGATTCCACCCTTGCCAACCTAGCAACCCTAGGATCGATCCTACTACAAAACCAACGGATATTACCCCAAACCCTAAGGACATCTCACCTAGACCAGAAACAAATACCTCTGCTGACTCTAACGACATAGTTGACCTAGGTAGTAAGTTTAGTCCAAAAAATATTAACAGTATCGGCACCTCATCCCTTTCCCCAATGGACCAAAACTTGAACAACCTAAATAAGGAAACACACCTCATCAATGATAGCATTTACTCACAAGAACCCTTGGGCATTAATACCTCCCAAACATAAGACCATACCCATATATCACCTAGTGAGGGCAAGAGATGACAAAAAGGAGCAAATTATGGACATAGACCCTTCCTTTCCCACATCCAATCAATTCTCCTCATTAATGCAAGGCTTAATTAGCCCACAAATTCAGTCCGTTATCCCATCCCAAAAACCCAGTAGACTTAAGGAAATCAACTATAGTACAAAATACCCCTTCACTTTATCAATCCCTAGTCTCAATCCCATTAATGCACAAGACAAGATGAAAGATATGAAGAGAGAAACGACTACCAAAGTCCAGGCCCCAAACACATTGGACCCAAACACATTAGACATTGATAACTCGTTACTATATATTAACAAGAGCCTTAACTCCCTTCCTCTACAAGACACAACCCCTATTAACGATAACATACACAATGCCAAGGCTCCCCCCTCCCCCCCACCAATTACAACAGGAGATACCCAAAGCCTCGGAGGTACGTGTGGACACGTCCACAAAATGTATCTCAACCCCAAACCCCTCTTCTCTTCACCACAAGGCCCATCCAAGTGGATCATGCACCCCAATCATGGCTGGAATGGGGACTAATGGGCCAAGCCTTGAACATATGCCTACAACTAGAAGGGAGAGACATCATAGTCCAAATAGGAGACCCAAGCTACCTAGCCCAAATAGTAGCGGAAGGACTCCAACTGAGGCTAAACAATATCATGATTCGACCGTGGATGCACTCCAATCATCTCCACCCCTACCCATACCCTACGACACCAATTCCAGTCGCTCATCCATCACCATGGAGTCAAAAAACATGGCCTCCCCAACACTCACAATCCAACAAATCTGAACCTACCCCTTTATCCAAAGCCTAACCATGCACCCTAACCTGCACCACCCCAGCAGACGAACCAACACACTGTCCAGCCTCCAAACTCCAGCAACAACAACCAGACAACTACTCCCCATGCAGCAACTCCATCCCCCTAGCAGAACACAAACCAAACAATGATGGAAGAGGGGGAAGAAGAGGATGCTACCCCAAACGAACGAATAGTGGAGCACGGAGTGTTACGATACCCAAAAAAATGGTGTTCAAGGCAAGAAAAGAAAAAAGATTCATCTTAAGTTGCCCAGTGGATTTGAGGAAGTGCTCCATATCCATCAGGAAATTGAGCTCGCCAAGCATATACCAACAAGCAGTGGTGCTAGTGCCAACAATGTTCTCGCACTATTGGACTCACAGGGAAAATCTGATGAACGGCCTAAGCCCTTCCAGCAGCCGTGAAGGAGGAGAACCAACAAGAAATACAAGTATGAATATGATAATCTGGAATTGTAGAGGCACAAGTAGCGCAGATTTTAGGAGAGCTTTTAGAGAAATGTTGGACTACCATAGACCTAGTATTGTAGCCCTACTGGAAACAAAGCTAGAGGACCACCATGGCTTAGTGCAAGACTTTGGTTATTCTAGCCTCATTCAAATGCCCGCTAATGGAAACTCTAGAGGTATTGTGCTCATGTGGAACAATGGAGATACTATGGTGGATCAAATCGGAGGGATGGACCAAGAAATACACGCCATGGTTAAGGTAAGTAACTCTACAAAGAGCTGGTTGTGTTGTATTATTTATGAGCAATTTATTAGAGGAGAGGCTAATTCTATGGAAAAACCTCAAGACTGTGGCTAATAGTTTTAAAGGGCCATGGTTAGTGGTGGGAGACTTTAATGAAGTCACTCGCGCCTCTGAAAAATTTGGAGGTTTACACGTCAATAATAATCGTATATCTTACTTCCTGGAATGTATAAACCACTGCGGCCTAATAGACCTAGGGTTTAAGGGTCCAAAGTTTACTTGGACAAATAAAAGAAAGAATTGTAATAAAATAATTATGGAACGACTTGATAGATGTATAGCAAACACGGAATGGTTAGAATTATTTCAGGACGCCAGTGTTAAACACCTAACTAGTACCCACTCAGACCATTGCCCCTTAAAATTAGACCTATTCAAAAGCTTCCCCACTAATAGCAATATTTTTAGAATCGAGTCTATGTGGTTATCCCACCTTACCTTCAAAACCCTAGTGGAAAGTTCTTGGACGGGTCAACCAAATATAACTAAAGCCATAGACAATTTTTGTACTGAGGTAAGGGATTGGAACCAAAATACTTTTGGCAACATCTTCAAAAGAAAGAACAAAATACTAGCAAGATTAAAAGGCATCCAGAATTCTCAAAGTTTCCCTCACAGTCAATTCCTAATAAACCTTGAGAATGAGCTCCTAAACGAGTATAATTTAGTACTTATGGAGGAGGAGGAATTCTGAAAACTGAAATCTAGGGTTCAGTGGGTCCAGGACGGGGACACGAACACAAATTTTTTCCATATCACTACTATGCAAAGAAGACGGGAAAAAAAGAATCCTCTGTTTAAAAGATGAAATGGGGAACTGGTACCAAGATCAAAACCAAACAAAATACCTCATTACTAAATATTATATGGACATGTACTCTACAGGGCATAAATAATCCACTCTTAACATAACTTATATGAACTACAACACTAAAATTAGTGAACATGACCACCCATACCTAAGCAGTACCCCTACTGTAGAGAAAATAAAAGGGGCCCTGGATTCCTTTAAACCCTACAAATCCCCTGATCCAGACGCCCCCCATCCTTTCTTCTACCAAAAATATTGGAAGGAGACTAGTAATCATCTTATCAACTTCTGCCAGGAAGTGTATAAATCTAAAAGAACGCTGAAAAGCATGAACAACACATTTTTCTGTCTCATTCCCAAATGTCAAAATGCGGAGACAATAAGACAATTCAGGCCTATAAGCTTGTGCAATACGACCTATAAGATAGTCACTAAAATTATTGTTAACCGGGCCAAACCATTCCTAACTAACCTCATCCACCCTACCCAAACTAGCTTTATAAAGGGAAGAAGAGTGGCAGATAATGCCATAATCATTCATGAGGTACTAGACAACTTCAAAGAACTAAAGATAAAAAAATTCAAAATGTTGATTAAAATAGATCTAGAAAAGGCTTTTGATAAGATCGAATGGTCTTTTATTAGATTTTCCCTCTCTTCTCTTAACTTCCCCCCTGATCTTATTGAGATCATAATGTCCTGCATTACCACCACCTCCACGACTATCCTGATCAATGGGTCCAAAATCGAATTTTGTGAACCTTCAAGGGGCATCAGGCAGGGTGACCCCCTATCCCCGTACATATTTATTATATGTATGGAAATGTTATCTAGACTAATTGACCACGAAGTAGACTGCTATAGGTGGACACCTATAAGGATAGCCCCCAAAAGCCCTGAACTATCTTACTTATTCTTTGCCGATGACCTCATCCTTCTATCCGAAGCTAACCACAGGAGTTACAAGTCGATTATCGACACCATCAACAAGTTCTGTGGGGCCTCAGGTCAATCCATTAATTTTGGGAAATCAAAGATTGTGTTCTCTAAGAACACCCCAAAAGACATTAAGAACCATATTAGTAACTATTTCTCAATGAGACATGCTAGTAATTTCGGGAAATACCTAGGATTCCTAATGCCAAACAATAACCCAAATAAAAAAGACTTCCAATTCATCCTTGACCGTATGAACACTAGGCTAAAGGGCTGGAAAACTAAGTTTTTAACCATGGCTGGTAGATCAACCCTTATCAAAGCAACCTTAGCGGCAATCCCAAATCACGCCGTGCAAATTTATGACCTGCCCAAGGCAACCCTAAATAAAATTGACTCTATCCAAAGAAATTTCCTATGGGGTAGTATGGAAGAGAAAAGAAAATGCCACTTGGCTAGATGGAGCATAGTAACAATGCCAAAAAAACGAGGTGGTTTGGGCATCCCCAACACTTACCGGAAAAACTCCTCCTTTAATGCGGCTTTAGCTTGGAGATATAAAAAATATAAAGAGGCCCTGTGGGTCAGAACCCTAACTAGCAAATATGGCAATAGGAAAAGTAAAAACCTAGGATCCCATGGCTGGAATGTCATTAGGAAGGGCTCTATAATTTGCGATATGAATTCCAAATGGCTGGTGGGCAATGGGAAGGACATCAATGTTTGGCAGGACAGGTGGATAACCTAGATGGGGCCCTTGAGGGACTATATCCAGGGCCCCCTATCTGCCCAGGACCATAACCTAAAACTCGTCAACATTATCAAAAATGGGACATTTGACCTCAGAGACCTATCCTTTAAAATCCCAAAGAACTCTTCTCCAAAATAAAGAGCACTTATATCAAACAATCCTTGCCCTTAACGGATATATTAGCCCGGGACTCCAAAGAGTACAATTACTTCTCCACCAAAGCCGCTTACGAG